CAGTATCCGACCGTCTACCTATTCCTTGAACCCTGAACAAGTGCTCCTGAAGGCTCTGTGGCATTTAAGTATCTTAACTCCCTGTCTTAACACTTGGAGTGCGGGGAAACGAGTTAAGTCGGCTCGCGTGAATTGCGCGTACTCCGCGGGAGCCGTCTTTAACTCGGTTCATATAGATTTGCGGTGGAGTGCGGGAAACGTGCAAACTCGGGCCGATTGTAACTGCGTATTACCAAATATTTGTTTGTAATCCACCCTTTTGGTGGATGGAACTTGAACCCTGAACAAGTACTTCTTATATTTTGGCGAGAAATTCACCCGCACTCCAAGTGTTAATCACCATCTGGACATTTATATTGCTCACTACTTACTGTTTTCCTTATGGTTCATCAGACCATACAACTCTGCTGAAATGCATCTATCTTTGGTTGAGAACAACCCCTGCTCATTTAAATTTGGTCTCTTTTAGAGGCATGCTGTTTTGAAGCATTCACCCTCAATTTAATGACCATTTAGTGACCACTCCTTATAGATTAATTTAATAAAATATTTCCTGGTTTAACTTTTTAAATACTCGTGGAGGGTTTTATTTTTGTTTTCATTCTTTTTTCTTTTTTAAAAATTATGAAGTCACTTACATGTATAGGGCTAGAGAAGAAAATATCTATGGAGAAAAGAAAATTGCAGAGACTGGAAAGCTCTAACCATTGAGCAAACAAAAGCCAAAGCTGACTACCCTTTGGTAAGTGTGTCAGGGACCTCTTTTTAGTATTCTGGTGTAAATTACAGGGATACCTGTGAATATCTATAGGTTTCCCTTTCTATCTGCTAGCCAGGGTTTATATTTGCCTTTTCAACTATTAGTGAAAAAAACAACCTCTCATCATGTTGTGTAAATTGATCTATTCCCCACTGACTTTGTGGATTAGGAACCTGTAATCATGGCCTGGAATATGTTAGGCCAGAGATTTTCAACCGGTGTGCCACAGAAATTTTAAAACATGCAATACCTGATTATTCAGTCAGGGGCACTGACCTCTTTTCACTTAGATTGTCAAATAAAAAAATGACAACAGCCAACACACCAATAGCTGTCAGGTGTGAATGCCCAGTCTTGAGTCATAAATGTATAGGTCATAGAATAGAGTTGCATCTTATTGGTCATGTCACATAATAAGGTTGCGTGTCATTGATTACCAAAAATCCTTATATCCAAATATAGGCACCTGATTTTTTTAAAAGGCACTTTGACCCTGGCTGGTGGCGCAGTGGTTAGAGCATTAGCCCATGTACTGAAGAGTCCCAGGTTTTATTCTGGTCGAGGGCAAATACCTTGATTGCAGTCTTCATCCCTGGCCCTGGTTGGGGCACGTGGGGGAGGCAACCACATCGATGTTTCTCTCTCTCTGTCTCTCCCCCTCCCTTCCTCTAAAAATCAATGGAAAAGTATCCTTGGGTGAGGATTAACAACAACAAAAAGTCACTTTGGAGCAAAAAGGGTAATTACTATTATTTTTTAAAAAATAAATCAATTATATCTATTTTTGTCAGATTGGCAAAAAATAGAATATATTTTTTCGTGTGCTGCAGAATTTTAATAATTAGTTTATGTGTGCCATGATATGAGAAAGTTTGAAAATCGCTGGCTTAGGATCTTAAGATCATTATAGAATCAGCTCAGTGATGTTTATGCCTGCAACTGTCAGAATGTAGTGATAGAAATTATGTTAATGCTTAGGCCTAAATAGATGAGAGTCTGGAAAGGAGATGAAATAAGTATAGAACCCTTGAAAGAGTTCCAGCCGTATGCATACTTATTGGAAGCTTTTGCCAGAGGCTGAGGTGTGTCTGTGTATCTGATTGGGTGTGGGGAGCTCTCTAGAGCCCAAGGGCAGCCTGTTTTGGTCCCAGGTGTACAAAACACACCACCTACGTGCTGACCTGAGTATAAGCAGGAGGGTGTGAGGTTTATTTTTTACCCACCTACTTTGGTGAGGTGCATGCTGTCAGTCATGCTCAAAGTTGTCTCTTCTGTTTCCATGGAAACTGCTTATTCTCACTAAGGTTGGTAGTGGGTTGGCATGATAGATGACTCTTGGAAATCAGAGATGGTCTTTCTCCTTTGTCGGCTATACTTTTAGAGGAATCACAATAAATTGAGCACTTCATATATGCTTAGCACTGTGCTCTATCTTATTTAATCTTCCCAACCACCCTTAGAAGGTTTATTATTAATCCCATTTTGTAGTTATTAATATCTCCTCATTATACAAAGAAGGAAACAGGCTTAGGAAGGCTAATTGATTTGTACAAAGTCACATAGGTGATGATGCATGGCAAAGCAGGTTTTCAAACTCGGGTTTATTGGATTCCATAGCCTGTTTTTTCCTCTCCACTATGAAGATAAAAACAAACAAACCAAAACATGTTTTGCCTGCAAAGGGCAATGATCCTTGCTTCCCTCTTAGGATGGAGCTCTTAAACAGTTTATTAGTTGCAAATAAGTTTCCTGAAAACAGGAATTGTATCTTACTCATCTTGTATACCTACCTGCCTTTCACAATGTAGACGCTTAATACATACATATATGTTAAATTGATGCCCTAGCTGATTTGGCTTAGTGGATAGAGTGTCAGCCTGGGGATTGAAGGTCCCAGGTTTGATTCTGGTCAAAGGCACATGCCCGGGTTACACGCTCAATCCCCAGTAGGGGGCGTGGAGGAGGCAGCTGATCAATGATTCTCATCATTGGTGTTACTATTTCTTTCTCCCTCTCCCTTCCTCTCTGAAATCAATAAAAATATATTTCTTAAAATTTGAAGATAAATAATCTGACTTTAGGGTACCCCAAATGTGAGAAGCTAACAACTAAGGTTTATTAAACATTTAGCGTGTACCAGGTAATATTTTAAGTGTTTTACTTATATTAATGCATATAAAGATAGTTTCTGCCCTAGCTGGTTCAGCTCAGTGGATAGAGCGTCAGGCTGCGGATTGAAGTCTCCCGGATTCAATTCCGGTCAGGGCACATGCCTAGGTTTCGGGCTCGATCTGCAGTAGGAGGTGTGCAGGAGGCAGCCAGCCAGCCAGTCAATGATTCTCTCTCATCATTGATGTTTCTGTCTCTCTCCCTCTCTCTTCCTCTCTGAAATCAATAAAAATATATATATTTAAAAATGATAGTTTCTATTGTTATCTTCATTTCACAGATGAGGAAACTGCCCCACAAAGATACTAAATAACTGGTTAAGAAATCATGAAGGAATAATTCTAATCCAGCAGTCTGACTCCAGAGTTCACATTGTTAAACTCCACATTATAAATACCTGAGCAACTCCAAAAATGAGGCTCCAACTATTGAGTAGACTTATGCATGGATCCTGGAGTAAGTTCAGTGGCTTAAAGGGTTTAATTTAACATTTCTGCCAGGAGGGGGCATCCTAGGAATCGGGATGGATCAGGGAACAGTAAAATTCCAGTTTCTTGCTACTGGATTCATGTCCTCGAGGCAGACAATGAGGAAGATAACTTCTAGAAAGAACCATTTGATAGAGTTTTATTGACAGTAATCTATGTACTTTGAGCTGTGTGACCTTTAAGAAGTTACTCAGCCTCTCTGTGCCTTAGTTTTCTTATTTGCAAAATGTAGCTAATAATAGTACTTACCTCCTACCTCATACATGTAAACTTTTAAAGCAATGCCTGGCTGCTGTATTGGATCTACATTGTGAAAAGAAGATGTACAAAATGATTAAGATATATTTCTTTTTAGAGTACCTGGGTAGGTGCTCAATAAATATTAGCTACTATTATTATTACTATTATAAAAATATGTAATTGGCAGCCATGAAAATGTACCTCTATGATCTCTTACTTTGGGGAGGGTAATTGACTCCCAACCCCAGCTCTGAATCCAACACCTTGTTCACACTGAAGTCACACTTTCCATGGGCTACTCCCAGCCAATGAGTGGTTCGGAGAGAGACATTTCTAGGAGATGGGTGACTCTTCCAATGGTGACTTTGGCTTGAAGACTCGCACTGCACTGCAGTTCATTTCTTTCTCTATCTTCATGCTCCTCTACCTGCCCCCCCCGCCCCGCCCCCACCCCGGGGTCAAACCTGCATTGTGTTCTGTCAGCTCTCCCAGCTTCCTCCGGCTTTCTCCACAGTTTCCCCGTGGACATTTCCCCTAGTTTACCTCTTGCGAGTGTGATCCTGTCTTGGTGTCTGCTTCTCAGAATACCTGGACTAAGACAACATCCAGCAGTCACTGATATAGTCCCTTCCAGCCATGAGGTCAATACACTTTCTTCAAGTCTTGGCAGAAGTTCTGATACGTGATTCTTTCCATGTGGAAGACTTAAATGTTACCAATCTTATTTTTTTTGTATTTGCTGATATGCATGCATATGATATTTACTTGTGTTACTGCCAGACACCTTTTTTTTTTTTTGCTTTTGGATGAATCCTGATAAGCACATTTATTTTGTTTGAGTATAATTAGGGGACTTTCCAAATCCAACCTTATGCTAGGAAACAGTGCTGTTTATAATAAGTTAGCAGAAATACTCTTAGGGCTTTAAAGTGCTTGGGTTATTGCAAAAAGGAAATGAAATAAGATATTATTATAGCTATTACACTGACTTCCTAAATATTTGGAAATTAGGGCACTTTAAAAAGTAATGAACATATTCACAAAATCATCTGTCCCTCTTCTTCCTTTCCTTTCTTCCCCTCCCTCCCTCTCTCCCTCCCCCTCCCTCCCTTCCTCCCTCCCTTCTTTCCTCCCTCCCTCCATTTCTCCCTCCCTTCCTTCTTCATGCTCTTTCTATATAATGCAAGGAATGAATGTAAATGTCCCTCCCCCACCAGGCAACTTATACCGTAGATGGGAGATGGAACATATTCAGAAACTGTAACACAGAGTGACAGTGTAGTAAGTGCTGTTGTAGAGTGGGTGAGCTGTCTGCATGCAGCTGTGTTGGTGCTTTCCCAGTTTGGTCAGCAGCTTTTTCAGTCACGGCAGGGACAGCAGTTCCCTGGTGGCCTACTTCTGGGATGTGCCTTTGGGAGTTGTTCCTGGAAGTTCAACCCAGACTGTTTCTTCCGCCTTTTCAAGGAGTCTGTAAGCTATTTAATAAATGTAATATCCTTTTGTTTGGGGGAAAAAGAGCAAGTGAGTTCTAAGGCATGTTGTTCCTGATCCTCACCTATCCCCATTTCTCCAAGGTAACTAAATTGCAGGTTACTTCAAGGTTATTCTAGTGTTTTAAAATAGTTATGTAAAGTTTAGACCTTGCTTATCATTTATACATACAAGTAAATTAGAATCTTTCCTCCAAATGCTGTCCAAAAGTTGGGGATCACAAATACCATGTTTGCGGATTGAGTAATCTTAGGAGGCTGAGTAGGTAATTAAAGTTTTAAAAAGTAATAATAATAGATCAGAAGAGACAGATGATCCATTAGCTCATTTCTAGTTCATCGTCCTGTTTCTGTCCTTTTTAGCAGTTATCACAGTTACGTTATCTATTTATATACTTGGTTATTGTTGGTTTCTAATAGAACAGGAAGCCATAAGGGCAGCTTATCTCCAAAATCTAGTACAATGCTCTGCCCAAGTTAAATGAATGGTCTGCTTTAAGTAGAATAAAAAACATTTTTTTTTAAACTGGGAGAATGGAATTTGGTTCTATCATGTGAGAGACACTAGGATTTTTTTCCCTTTCCATGGATGAAGAAAAGGGATGACTGATTAAAATTTTCCCTGGATCCTTCTGGTTTTAAACTCTGATTATATCTAATGTTAGTTTCTTGATTGATACCATAGTTTCTATGTTTTGTTACACAACAGTGAGATTTAATCCATTTTTTTAAAATGTCATTTTAAGAAGGAGGGAAATTTTATACAATTTCAGGGCATCTCCATGAGATCCTGTCCTTTAGTTGGGCAGAGTCATATGCTTTAAGACAGGAATTACCCTGATAAACTAATCCCCGGGTCCTCTGTGTTGGGGTCACCCTTGCACTACTTCCCTAGGGACCATAGGAAATAGCTCATTCTATGATTGGAATTTCAAGTCAAAACACATTTATCTGAGCAGAATTTTAATGATTTTTCAAAGAGAAGAGGGATTTTCCCAAACACATCTGAATTTACCAAATTACTGATCCCATTAGCTATGTTTTCTTTTAAGCACCTTTCTTTAAACAAAGCAATTATTGCTGAAATCATCAAGTGTATTTTTCACAAAAGCTTTTGACTAAGTTTTGTTTGATTAGCAGGAACCCACTAAAAGTAAATATTGTTTGAGAGGGCACTTTCAGGGCCCTTTCTTTTTCTTCATTGAATTAGCTTTTTAAAGCACTATTCTTTGGAGAGAGTAAGAGCTTTTTCCCAGCTGTCCTATTATTGTGTAGCTCAAGGTCTTGCTCTGAGATTACAAGTAATTGTGATAAAACACAAGCTTCAGTTTCTGTAATCTCAGGCAGAAATCTGTTTGTACCCCAGGCCTTCATATCAGGTGTTTGTTAAATTCAGACTTCTCTCACCTGGGGTAGCCCCACTGGTCCCCAGTACCAGTAAACAGAGGTGTGTGGCAGGGATAGGGCTGCATCCGGGCCATTGCCCTCTCTCTCTCTCTTTCAAAATCATGTGGCAGAACTCCTGTGGCCAACTTACGTACAGCATGCACAAAATGGGAAAATTATGTATTTTAAAATAGGCATGTTTGAAACAATAACACTTTGAATATGACTAAAGGCCACATGTCTTTGGCTTTGCTTCTCGGACAGGCTGCCAGAACCACTCTGCTCCATGGTTCTCATGCCCCAAAGTCCTGCAAATTGACACGTAAGTAGGCAACACACAAAGAAGCTCAGCCCATTGAGAAAGTGAGTTTGGGCACTTGGGCTGGCCTCCTTTTCTCTCTGTGTGCAGTTCTTTACAGCTTCAATTCTTCTGTCCCATCTTAGTTTTTTGTGTGTTTTTTTTTTTGAGAAAGGAGAGATTAAATGTGTCTGGTATTTCAGCATGTTAACTGCACAGGCAACATGAGGCTAGCACTCAGGCCAGTGCTCAGCCTGTCATATGGAAGGAATTGCCTTTCAGGAGAGATTATAATTGTGTATGTAGCCACACAAATGCACATTCTGCCTGGAGGAAAATGCATAGAAGAGAAGGCCTCATGCTGCCACTCAGGCCTCTTTGTGGAAGGCTGCATAAGAAGCCCTTATTGGCATAGTCAACTCTTTTGGGTTTAATGAGTCACGTTTTTGTGTGATGCCTACTTCAAAAAAAAAAAAAAAAGGAGAAGAAGAAGAAGAAGGAGAAGAAGAAGAAGAAGAAGAAGAAGAAGAAGAAGAAGAAGAAGAAATGCACTCTTCCTCAAGTGATTTGCTTTGCTTTTATTGGCTCTACAGCGTTGTCTAAGAGTTTTGTACGTTCCTGATGACATCACTTACAATGCTAATGCACATACAGTAAACAAAAAATAATTTAGCTTTCAGGCATCTAGACAAAACTTAAATAGTCCAATTTAGAAAAACGATAAAAACTTGATAAACAGTGAGCACATGAGCTTAAAAAACAAGCATGATCTCAATCCTTTTCGGAATGTGATGCTTTGAAATATGGCTGTAGAGAAAAGTAGAAGCTTAGACACTCTAGAAGTGTGTGCAGTTGAGACTTGAGTCCATGGTGCAGTGTTAATGCCAAGCAGTATGTTCTAGTTACTGGGTAAAATACAAGTTACCATGTGAGTAAGTCATTAAGCTACTTGTCCATAGCATTTCACCTTTAAGAAAGGACACGGTATTATTGCCACCTACCTCACAGGAATGTTAGAAGATTGAAAAGATAAACATGTAGCACTCTTTATAAGAAAGGTATTTTGTAAATAGATAAAACTGTTATTATTCTCCTTGATCAAATTTCCCAACAAATGGAGTTGATAAAAGCTACCTCACAGGGGGTTGAGAGGATGAATTAATTAATACATGTCAAGTATTTTAAAGTAAACTATTTAATGAGACCTAAAATTGATTATCTTTTTAGATAGTCTGTAAACCACCAAACCTGATATTTAGATGCATGATTAACTTATAAAGTCTTACATGTGCAGTGCAGTCAATCTTTGGCCTTATCTTCAAGGGTTGGTATGGTAGAAAATGGTGAATATATACTTAGAAGAAAATGGGTTAGTTCTTCGGGGGATATGGCCGAGCCTTTTTTCTCTTCAAGGTTGCCTACAAATAGCCACTGGAGTCTTGCTAATCTTTCTTGCCATGTCTAGACATAGGGAGTGTTTTGACCTTTGCTCTTCCAGTAAATATTTATTTTTGATCTCATAGTTCTAAAGGAGAAACAAACTTTAAGGAAAAGAAGTGGTTGATTTGTCTTACATTATGAACGGTTTATTATCGTACTAGAGGCCCGGTGCATGGATTTGTGTACTGGTGAGGGTGTCCCTCGGCCCTCAGCCTGGCCTGCAGGTATCAGGCCTAAATCAGCAGTCTGACATTCCCCGAGGGGTCCCGGATTTAGAGAGGGTGCAGGCCAGGCCGAGGGACCCCACCGGTGCACGAATCTGTGCACTGGGCCTCTAGTATGCATGTAAGATCTTTGGTTAATCTCTTCCTGCCCTGTCCCCTCCCTGCTTCCCTCTAGATCAGTGGTTCTCAACCTTCTGGCCCTTTAAATACAGTTCCTCATGTTGTGATCCAACCATAAAATTATTTTCGTTGCTACTTCATAACTGTAATGTTACTACTGTTATGAATCATAATGTAAATATTTGGTATGTAGGATGGTCTTAGGCAACCCCTGTGAAAGGGTCATTCGACCGCCAAAGGGGTCGCGACCCACAGGTTGAGAACCCCTGCTCTAGATTCATCAGTCTGTGCCATGTTTCCATGCCTGTGGTTTCCAATCCTGTGTGGAGCATCTGCCCCCTGGTGGTCAGTGCATGTTATAGCTACCGGACTGTCAGCCTGTCGGACTGTCAGCCATTTGGCCAGTTGGCCGGTCACTTAGGCTTTTATATATATAGATTTCCTAGTAGTTAGAGAAAATACTGTTGTTGAAGTGATAGGGGCAGAAATAGAATATTGGGGACCAGCTATAATTGTAAGAAATATTAATCATGTTCTGTTAACTGTGATTGTTTTGTTCTGATTAAGAAGGCACATTCTAACCTGGCTGGGAGTTGCACGTGGGACCTGTGAGCTCATCTGGAAATGCAGCCCATCCTCCCCATCCTAGAGCTGCCTATTATCATGGAAAGATTAACAACCTTGTTGCAGAAACCAGGGCTGCCAGCCCTTTGAAGACCCCCAGCCTTTGCATACCCATAGGCCTTTGCAAATCTTCAGCCTGCATTACCTGTTAACTGCCCATTTGGCATACCCTTTTGCCTACTTCCCTATGTAATCTTTGTCCTTCTACCCAATATAAGCAGCTGGCTTGTTGTTAGATGCAGAGCAGATTTTTGTGGATGACCTGCTGCTCTCCCATACTGTTAGCAGTATTGGAATAAACACTCATATATGATCCAACCCTATCTCTGCTTAATTGGCTCAAGTAGTGACAGACAGCACGGACCCATTGATTGTCCAGTTACAGAAGGATCTGACATTGGTTCCCCAGCTGAAAGATCTTAGACTCAGCCAAATAATAAAAACAGCTTTGGTTATCTTTACAGAGGAAGGGACACTAGAAAATTATCTATATACTAGAGGCCCAGTGCACGAGATTCATACCATAGGTGGGGGGGGGGGGGGTCCCTCAGCCCAGTTTGCACCCTCTTGCAGTCTGGGACCCCTCGGGGGATGTCCACTTGCCCCTAGGGATCGGGCCTAAGCCAGCAGTCAGACATCCCTCTCGCAGTCTGGGGCTCTCGCAGTCTGGGAACCCTTGCTCTTTACCACCTGCCTGCAGGGGAGGCAGGAGAGGCTCCTGCCACCACTGCTGCACTCTCTAGCCGTGAGCCCAGCTTCTGGCTGAGCGGCGCTCCCGCTGTGGGAGTGCACTGACCACCAGGGGGTAGCTTCTGCATTGAGTGTCTGCCCCCTGGTGGTCAGTGCATGTCATAGCATCCAGTCGTTCTGTTCAGTCGATTTGCATATTACACTTTTATTATCCTATCTAATAATAGACAAACATGGTAATTGACCGTACCTTCACTACGCCTCCCATTGGCTAATCAGTATGATATGCAAATTAACCGCCAACAAAGATGGCGGCTAATTTGCATACTGCAGGCAGGGCGGGACACTGGGAGCCGCAATCCAGGCCCCCGTGTGTGACCCCAGGAGCTGCTGGAAAGCCAGGCCGCAGGCAAGGCCACCCCCCGGGACCCAGGAGCCACCTTGCCTGCAGCCCGTGATCGTGATCGTGATCGGAAAAGCCAGGCGCAGGCAAGGCGGCCCCCCGGGATCCAGGGGCCCCCTTCCTGCGGCCCGTGTTTGTGGTCATGATTGGAAAGCTGGGCCGCAGGCAAGGCGGCACCCTGGAACCCAGGAGCCCATCGGCAAGGTCTGTAGGCGAAGCAGCGATCAAGCTATGAGGGGAAAGGTGGGGGGCGGAAGGAACTACAGGAGCAGCTCTGGCGGGAGACTGAAGACTCCCACCGGAGTGAGGAGCAAAGACTGAAGGCTCCAGCCGCAGTGAAGACTGTGTCCAGAGCGAAGATGGAAGGCGGTGGCCAGAGTGAAGTTCTGGGTCCCGGGTGCCAGAGGAAGACTGGTACTGGCAGCCAGGGGAAAGAAGGCCTATTGCACAAAAATTCGTGCAACGGGCCTCTAGTATAGGATATAAAAGCCTAAGTGACCATTATGACCGAACAACTGGAACGACCGGAACGACCGATTGATCAGTTGCTATGATGTGCACTGACCACGAGGGGGCAGATGCTCAACGCAGGAGCTGCCCCCTAGTGGTCAGTGCACTCCCACAGCCAACCTCCCCTGGCTCCTCCCCCCTGTCAGCCAGCCCCCCCCACTCGATAGGCCCCGATCAGAGGGCTCATCGGCCAACATCCCAGGGTACCTCCCCCTGGCCAGCCGGCCCCCTGATAGGCCTCAATCAGCAGGCCGAGGGACCCCACCCGTACATGAATTCATGCACTGGGCATCTAGTGTATGTTTGTGTGTATATATATATACACCTGAGGGTATTTTTTCCATTGATTTTTAGAGAGCATGGAAGGAATGGGGGGAGACAGAGAGAGAGAAACATTGATGTGAGAGAGACACACTGATTGGTTGCCTCCCATATGAGCCCTGACTGGGGTCAGGGATTAAGCCTGCAACCGAGGTATGTGCCCTTGATGGTAATCAGACCTGCAACCCTTCAGTCCTTGGGCCAATGCTCTATCCACTGAGCTAAACTGGCTAGGGCTAATTTATATTTTAAATATATTTTTATTGATATCAGAGAGAAAGTGAGAGGGAGAGACAGAGAAACATCAATGATCAGAGAGAATCATTGATCAGCTGCCTCCTGCACACCCCCTATTGGGAATCAAGTGTGTGTTTTGGCCGCATCCAGCGTGGCTAGAGAATGAACAAGACCTGAGTAGGGGCGACTGGGGATTGAGAAAAAGAAAGGGACAGACACAGAAATAGTAAGTAAAGCTGGGATCAGGTGGGACACTGTTCTCAGATGGAGAGACAGTGACCCAGAGCTAGTGTAGCACGTTTATTATATACAGCATGATACCAGGAAGTTTTATTAGAGTTTAAGACAAAGGAAATTATGTTAAATAATGCTTAAAGATCAAGCTGCATTCTTCATTTTTGTGGCTTCTCGTAATTGTCAGGCCTGGCTGAACCTGAATAATTGCATCTGCCCTGCGCCTGAGTGAACCTAGATAATGGCACCCACCCCCTGGTACCTGAACTAAAGGTCAGGACTGACAACATTCCTGCCTTTGGCGAGAATAGAGCCTTATTGGTACATGTTTCCAGGACATGGCTCTGCCGACGCCGCTGGATTCAGCTGACGACCTTTGCTCAGGTGCTTTCCCAGGCACTCTGTATAATCAAGCCCACAACCTGGGCATGTGCCCTTGACCGGAATCGAACCTGGAACCCTTCAGTTCGCAGGCCAACGCTCTATCTACTGAGCCAAACCAGCTAGGGCCCAACCAATATTTATAGGAATAAAAGAAAGATAAAGTTTGGTAGGAAGAAAAGAAGGCAAGAAAAAATTTGGGAAGACTTACCGCCATTTTTGCCCACAGTTCGGAAGCATCTCCAGAAGGCCCGTAGGAATGATGCCCTGTTGTGAGGGGTGGCTTGGATGAAGCTGAATTCCCGAAAGAGAATGTGATGGCTGAGCTGCCGTTATAAAAATACCTCCTCCCAACCCCCCAGAAATGGCTAATATAAGGAAGAAATTTACTTCTCTCTAATTTAACCTAAGTCCAGGATATAGGAGGTAGGATCTGCTCTAGGAAGTATAGGATTTCAGGCTAACTGGGCATGTTTTCTGGGGGTGCCTCAGTTGTAGCCATTTCCAGCCAGTAGAAAGGGAAAAGAGGAGTGAATCCAGGGCAAACACCTTTTAAGCAATTAGGCAAAATTTGTAAACATCACTTGTGCTCACATTTCATTAGTGAGAACTTAATATAAGGCCCCTGCTAATTGCAAAGGAGCCTGGGGATTGAATCCAATACCATCATGTGTGCAAGAAGAAAAGGAGCATAGATTTTGAGGGATGCAAACAATAATCTGCCACACTTAGAATGTACAGTGAAGATGTCTCTCCCACTCAAGGTGAGGTGTATTGTTGGTGGCTGCTTGTCTTTATTCATAGGCAAAGCATGAATATACCTGCACATACCCATCCTGGGGATCAAGCCCGCAACCTGGGCATGTGCCCTGTCCAGGAATCAAACCTGTGACCTCTTGGTACCTGGGTTGATGCTCAACCACTGAGCCATACCGGTCATGCCAAAATTTTCTTTCTTTCTTCTTTTTTTTTTTAAAAAATATATTTTATTGATTTTTTTTTACAGAGAGGAAGGGAGAGGGATAGAGAGTTAGAAACATCGATGAGAGAGAAACATCGATCAGCTGCCTCCTGCACACCCACTACTGGGGATATGCCCACAACCAAGGTACATGCCCTTGACTGGAATCGAACCTGGGACCCTTCAGTCCGCAGGCTGATGCTCTATCTACTGAGCCAAACCGGTTAGGGCCAAAATTTTCTTAAATCCCTTTGATATGCTGCCATCTTCAACTCTTTTTTTTTTATTAGTCTGTGTATTCTTTTATTGAGATATAATTTTATATAATACCATAAAATTCACCCTTTTAAATACACAATTCAGTGTTTTTTAGTCTATTCACAAGATTGTGCAACCACCAGCATAATCTAATTCCAGAACATTCTCATCACCTTAAAAAGAAAGTCCATCTCAATTAGCAGACACTCCCATTTCCCTCTATACCCAACTCCTGGCAAGCACTAATCTATATTCTGTCTCTATGGATTTGCCTATTCTGGACATTATATATAAAAGTTCTTGCTGTGCCCTAGCCAATTTGTCTCAGGCAGCCAGGCGAGCAGTTAGGGGCAATCAGACAGGCAGGCAGAGTGGTTAGGGGCGATTAGGAAGGCAGGCAGAGGTGGTTAGGGGCGATCAGGCAGTTAGGTGAGCAGTTAGGGGCGATCAGGCAGGCAGGCAAGTGAGAGGTTAGGAGCCAGCAGTACCAGATTGCAAGGGGGATGTCCAACTGCCACTTGAGGCCCGATCCCTGTGGGATCAGGCCTAAACCATCAGTTGAACATCTCCCGAGGGGTCCTGGAATGCGAGAGGGAGCAGGCCAGGCTGAGGGCGCCCCACCATCATGCACAAATTTTGTGCACCGGGCCTCTGGTACATTATAAAAGCAAAGTGTTCACTTCAATTTAACCAGGCTTCCAAATAGTTTTGGAGAGTAAAGTATCCTTTTCTTCTATGATCTATTGAGGAACTTAAGTTGGGGGGATAAATAACTTGCATATGCCCCAAAGAGTCATCAAGAGGGCAAAGATTAGAAACTAGGTCTCATATAACAAGACCCTCTTGCTTGGGCTGTTGAGCCTGTGGGATGGCAATGCACAGGGATCAATTCACTGTTTAAGATCTGGACTGGAGGTCACTTCACCTTTCCTTGATGAGTCGGATTATTTGTGCTGTGTAAGTTTTTTGAAGAAAGATTTCTAGAATCAATTGTAGAAGTGTCTTGTACCACCAATAGGCAGTGGGTAGAATCTAATTGAGATTGTCCAAAGAGAAGTGGCTATTAGAGAGTTGGTACCTCTTTATGTGCTGCCCCTGACTTGTTCATTTTCCTGTCTAGTGCAACCTAGGATCTGAGAAGGAAATGGTGCTGTCATCAGTGCTAAAATTAATCAGAATGTTGCCTCAGTTAATAAATGGAAAAATTAATTTTCAAACATTTTTATGTAAGTCCTGTGAAATATGAAGACATTGATTTTGTGGTCTAGTTTGCAATTTTTTATATTAATTATGGTCATTTTAAACTTTTGACATGTCTCTAAGAATTTCCTAATTCTATGATTCAGTGGAAAATATTTATACTCATGAAATAAAGTTCAAGTTTTTGCCCTACCACTTACAAGCTGTATGACCTTGAGCAGTTTCCTCATTTGTAAAATGGAGATATTAATCTCAACTTTATCTGGCTCCTAGGTTGATTGCAAGGTTCAATGAGATAGTGTATGTGAAAGTATGTAGTAAGCTATTGTTCAAGTTATGAAAGTCATTAAGACCTTAACTCTGTTTACAACAATGGTAAGCATTGAAGATAGTAGTACATCTCTTTAGATGCTTGGATAATGTCTGGAAACACTCTATCCTACTCTAGGATCCTACGCAGATCCATGAATAGGCCCATGAGCATTCTGATTGGTACATTAGTTTGACTTCTTCATTTCTAATATTGGGAAAATATATACATGTTTTATGTTAACTTTAGGTTTGTCTGCATATAACAGAAAAACCTAAAATAACTTGATTTTAAAAAGTTAGAAGATTATTTCACTTTTGTGGAAAAGAAGCCTGAAGATAGTCAGTCCATGGTTAGTATGGTATTTTCCAAGGTGTAATCAGGGACTCAAGTTTCTTTCTTTTTCCTCATGGTCCGTGAGGACTGAAGGAGTTGTAAGTAAAACACAGCTTTCAGTAGAATCAGTTCCATTTAAATACTTTCTACAAGACCACACAATATCGTGCTTAGATTTTATAGCTTAATCACATGACTAATACTTAGCTGCAAGAGAAGCTGAGTAATATGGTCTTTATGCCAATAGCCATGAATCTAGGAAAAACTGAAGTATGTTTCTAAGGAGGAAGAGGCTGCTGGAGCTGGCAACTAGTGGTCTTTGCCACAGCATTATATAAATATGAATGTTGTTATAAACTTCTCTCTCCTGCCCTTCCTAATACATATGCATGTGTGCATGCTCACACACATGCGCACACACATGCTTTGACTAGATAGCACATTCACAGGTTCAAAAATATATAAGGCACACATCAAGAGGAATTGTTCCCACCCTGTCTCAATTCACCCCTCTCCTATGCTCTATTTGCTTATATTTTATTCAACCAGCTCTGTGAAGTCCTTATGATAGGATTATGCTTTGATTATCCAAATTTTCATTACTGTTGAGCTTTGCCATTTCCCCCCCTGAAATAACCTCATTCTTTACTTTTTCTAGAATACTCTCTTTTTCTGCCTTTTGTCATAAAGTCATGTAATAATTTGTTCTCTGGTTGTCTCCAAATTAAGGGCTCAGTATAATTCAGTAATCTGATTATCAGTACTTAGATTATCTTCCAACCAACCATTATATTAAAGAAAATTAACTATCACAGTTATTTTCACTTATTATCTCACTTATTATACTTATTATTACTTATCATGTCATATCACGTATCACTTTTAACCTAGGACAAAAATTATTTATAATTGTTCCTGGATTATGATTGGCACTAGAGACCTGAATGTACTCTCAGTAGGATAAAGGAAGCCTGGATAATATTATTTGACTATTTCATTTTAAAAGTTATGTGCATTCAGGGAGTATGAAAAAATATTTAAAAATAATTCACCATATTTAAAAAGTGACCATTCAGTAATATTTGCTTCAGAACTTATATTTTTAGTATGTTTGTATTGATTTTACGAGAGAGAGAAAAAGGGAGAGGGATAAAGAGATAGAAGCATCAACAAAAGATCATGGATTGGCTGCCTCCTGCACGCTGCCTATTGGGGATCCCACAACTCAGGCATGTGCTCTGACTAGGAATTGAACTGTGACCTCTTGGTCGACGCTCAGCCTCTGAACCACACTGGCCAGGCTGTTTAAAGAAGAAGTTTGGCAATATGGTTATAGAGAGAAATGTGGAGAATTTTAGGGCTCCATTTGAGCAAGCTCAAGAATTTCCCCTCACTGGATCAAGAGGGAAACTGATGAGGAACGTCTTCAGTTTCTTAATCTGTAAAATGATGAGAGTTGAATGATATGATCTTAAAGTCCTACTCCTTAAGCTTTTGTAATTCAGGAGCAGAGGTAAGAATAGTAATGAAGTGACTGGCTTACTGGTTTCAAGTTAAGTACAACCAAGAAAGGCCAATGGGACAGTCTGTAGGAAACAGTGATTTCAAGTCCTGGTGAAGAGGAATAGTGTGTTCAGTGGAAATTGAGAAGGACAAGGAATTTTCAGATCAGGGATTTGATGGGTCATTATTGTAAAAGGACACTGATCAGTTGCTCCTAGGAAGAAAGATGTGAATTCTGGGTTTGGGGCTTTTAAAAAAACATGTAGGCCAGGAACTCTCAGGGAAATTATAGATAAACTTAGGAGGTTCCTGAATGCTCTAAAATTATACACAACCTATTCAGTTATATCTGTTTTTCTGTTTCATGATCTAACAAAAAAACCACTCAAAAATGAATGATGCCCTGGCCGATGTTGCTCAGTGGTTAGGGCATTGGCCTGTGCACCAAAGGGTTGAGGGTTCGATTCCTAGTAAAGGGCATGTACCTGGGTTGCGGGGTTCCTCCCTGCCCCAGGTGGGGGCACATTTGGGAGACAACCAGTCGATGTATCTCTCTCACATCGATGTTTCTCTCTCTCTCTCTCTCCACCCCTCTGTGCCTCCTTTGCACTCTCTTTGAAAAAGCAATAGAAAAGATATTCTCAGGTGAGTGAGGATTAACAACAACTACAAAGAATGATAAAGACTCCCAAATTATTAAAATGAAGAAAGAGTCCTTCAGTTGGTGAACATGGTCATTGTGATATTTTC